TCTACCATATCGTCCGTTTGAGGATGATATGGTGATGTTCTAATATTTTTGGTGCCCAAAGCATCGCATATCTCCCGCAGCAGTTTCGACGAGAAAGTCCGCCCCTGATCCGTGAGAAGCTGCTCAGGTGCTCTCTTGTCCATCACATAGCTAAGTATCGGCAATGGCTGCTGCAAAATGGTCTGGTAGTGCCAAGCCATTGACCACCAGAAAAAAATATTCCACACAAACCAGGAGGAATTTGTTTCCCTTTTGGGTAGCCAGAAACGGCCCCAGAATGTCAAGCGCAACCAGCTCATTAATTCGGAACACCGTGATGGATTGCAATGGAGGCTGAGCCCTTCTTAATGGTGGTTTCCGGCATGCACAATCAATTACTTAAATTACGAAAATCGAAGCAAAACTGCAGTCTCCCGTTCCGTTTTTTAACCATCACAATGGGGGTGCCCGAAGGGCTGGTAAAGGGGAAAATAATGTCAGCGGCCAACATTTCCTCAACCGCCTGCTGAACATGTTATTTCTCCCTCAGGCTCAGCCTGTACGAGTTTTTTTTCTAATGGGAGCTGCATCACCGTATCAATGCGGTGTTGCAGCAATGAGGTGCGGCCAAAATAAAATTTCCCTTGGCTAAAATATCAGTAAACTCCCGCAACAAAGCACGCAACTTGTCCCTTTGATCTTGAGACAGGTGTGGATTCTCGGTGCACAATTTATCAGCCCATGTCTCGTTTGACTCGCCTCTCTGTTATACTGCGCCCACGACCTCTGTTGCAGCTGTGTCAACATCCTCGCAACACGCATCTGTTGCGTGAGCTAATACCGTACCCGCCTGGAAAACTGCTGTAACCAATCCAACATTTAACACCTGCAGGAACGGCTCCTGGTCCGTCCTAACGATCGTCTGAGCACCCACCAGCGTGAGGCCCAAAGTCGCCATGTTGGAAGCGGTTAAAGGACTCCCGCCTCGGAATTCGCCAACTGCAGACGTTTTCGGTAGCGCAGCAGAACCAACATTTGCGCACCTGGTGGAATCTTAACTGATTCCTTCACCAACCGCTGTCCTGGCAGCATTTTTACACAACCCTGGTTGATCATGATTTTCAGGGACGTCCTTCCCAAAAAGTCGGTCCCCAGGAGGCAAGGCAGAGCCAACGTCCTCAAAACCAACATAGGATTGGACAACTCGATCTCCCCGGTCCTGACACGGGGCCTTTCTCCCCCAGCTCCACAGCCATTACTCCCACGCCCGCAACAATTTTAACCAGAGTCCCGCGACCAGCGGCTGTCCAAGGGGTGTCCTCTTCCTCGTCCTCCTCTTCTGATGACACTACAAGTGGGTTCTTCTTCGCGGACTTTGACTTGACGTTTGAACACTTCTGACATCAGATGTAGTGTAGGACTCTGAAGACAATAATTGTAGAGACACCTTTTTTATTAGCACACATGATCTAGACTGTCCACTCGAAACTTGCTAGCCTTAGCACAACACTAGCCACCTAGCATCGACGGTGCTAACTGACTAGACAGATGGCTGACTATCTAGCAGTAGCGACGTCGAGTGATGACAAAGACGGCAGCGACGGCGACGACAAAGACGGCAGCGACGGCGGCGACAAAGGCGACAGCAACGACGAGACGATCCGACTCCCACGAACAGCCTCAAGCTACGGCTCTCAGCTCCTTTTATCCTACCAGCATGGCTCTGCCCCGCCCTGGCCACGCCCCCCTTCTCGAACCCACTAGTAGGTTCCAGGAGCTTGTGAATGGACCCCCTCTACGACCCTTGACCCAGTTCTTCCACTCTGCTGACACACCCCTAAATACTGTCGCTCACTTGCGTGTGTACTGTTCATACACCACAGTGGCCGCTTCTGGTCACCAGCCAGCTCTATTACACTACATATACTCTTTGGTTCTTTCGGTAAAGTCACGTAGGTAGAAAAAATAATAGATTACGTCATTTTGATCGCAACACAAGCAATCGTCATCAGGTGAGACAACTACAGCAAGAAAACTGCTTTAGTAGGCGAGAGAGCTGCCGTGACAAGAGGTTATATAGGTCTGAGCTGGGAAGACAGGAGGGGGAAGTGGGTGGGCTGGAAGTAGAAGGCTGCGTGTAAGACATGAGGGGGAAATGGGCGGGGCTAGAAGTAGAAGGCTGTGAGTGAAGACAGGAAAGGGAGCTACATGAGTGCCAGGAGGAGATAGACATTTAACTTGGTAATGTAACTCAGAGAGTCGAAAATAACTGCTAACAAAGGCAGGTAGGATAGAAACAACACAAGCAGTTAAGGCTTTCTGGTTAATAACGTCCTTCCAATGATTGCTCAATTTGTATCCATCTTCCCGGTTGAAGTTATGTCTGTGCTTATAAATCTGGATGGCTAAATGAACAAATCTTTTATGGTAGCCTGAAGGATTGCAGAGTACCTTGGTCTCGGAAAATATAATGTCGTGTGTGCCCACCGCGTTTATTCAGTGATCAGCTACGGCAGAGGTATTGGTTCTGTTGTTTCAAATTTCCCTTGTGTTTGCAAACACGGTCCGAGACATGTCGTTTTGTTTCTCCAATATAATTGCTACCGCAGACACAACTTAGTTTGTAGACACCAGGGTATTACATGTCAGGAATCACATCTTTCACAGATGGGTTCAAATCACGGATTTTGTGTACTGAGTTGAATGGAACCTGGATCTTGGAAATATTTTGGTAACTCCTGCTATGTAAGGCAAGGTGATGGTTTTCTTCCCATGGTTGGGGATGCAGATTTGGGGATTGTGCAGTCCAAGTTTTCATTCATCTTGAGGGCTTGGCATACATGCTCCAGTTCACTGGATAGGTGGTGCTGGTCGGAGATGCAACGTGTTTTCATGAGGGAATTTTTCTGGGCTGGATGGTGTTAAGAATCAGGCTTTAGATAGGAATCTGTGTGGGTGGCTTTCCTGTAGACAGAGTGTCCCAACGAGCCATCAGGTCTCTTCTCGATAAAAACCATCAGGAATGGTAGCTTGCCATTATTTACCACTTATTTGGTGAATTTGATAGATGGGTGTATGGAATTTATGTGGTTGAGAAATTGGTGTAGTGTAGGCCATGTGGCCAGATGACGAACGTGTCATCCACGTATCTTTTCCACAAGGAAGGAAGTTGGGTGGATGTTTGCATGGCATCTGTCTCAAATTTCTCAATGAAATCATTTGCTACCACTGGCGATCAGGGAGAACCCATTGGGGTACCCTCATTTTGTTTGTAGAAAGTAAGATTCCAGGTGAAGTAACTTACCCCGTTACCTCATCCTCATTCAACATCATCGTAATCACCATGGAATTCAATCCTCAGTATTTAAGGTAAATAACATTATTTTATTATTTTTGATTATGTTATTTGAAAATGCATTGTTTTTATTATATATTATTTGTCTCTAGTTTTTGTTCATTTAAGGTATAGGCAACTTAGACATTGCCCTAATTCCCTATATCCCAAAAGGCCTTAGGATTTGCAACTGCGGTTTTGGCTAAACATTTAGGGCCACAGAGCTTGCGAATTGTTGTCACCAACATTTGCAACCTGCTCACTTGAATGTGATTTATCGTGCCTTAGAATCATTATGTCCCTGATGATGAATTAAACATGTGTTCATTTCAAATTCTGAAACTGTTGAGATTACATATTCATTAATAATGCTGTATATATGTTTTGTCAACTATGCTTATTTTACCACTGCTTTGTCTCCTCACAGCAGAAGAAGTGAATCCTGTCCTGAATCAGCACAAAATGCACACGTTTGTGACGAAGAGGTGACTCTTATCTGTCTCCAGTGGAGATATGAGGTGGCTGGGTTGGCTAAGAAATCAGTGCCGAGTTGGCAATAATGCAGTTCTTGATTTGAATTTGGGTTTCAGCAGCATATAATTAAACGGACTTCTGAAGTGCAATTGATGGTCTCAACCTGGCACCTGAGTATGGAGCAACAAGATTGAACTTACATTACGTTTAGAAATTGTGTAAGCTAAGACTTGTCCTTACTCCGATTTCATATGGTACTATCTTAACTACCCGGCTTCGCCCAGGACTTGGATTCTTGTCTTGGATTAATTTCATATCCCCTTATATTTCACTGAAAAACCCTGAAAAAAATTGATGCTTGCAAGCAAGAAAAAATCCGAAACAAATAAATTTAACTAAATCGGATGTTTTTCACTCAAGGAAATTCAACCTTAACCCACTTATATGTAAGGACGATTTTGGCAACTCGGGAAGGGAGCTGAAAATGGTCGCGTTCACTTAGAAAATACAGACAGCATAAGCAGTGCAACGTTCATAACGCCAGATCTCAGCGTTCGAGAGTGTGTTCTGCTTCACACAAACAAACAGATGAATTTTTTGCTTTATATTTAAGATAGCAGTTGTACCTGTTCTTCGCACGGATATGGATTGAAAATCCGAGGAGCCAATGGCTTCATCGGCCAGGAGCGAAGCGCCACCTAAAATCTCCCGGCATGCTGTTAACAGCTCTAGAACTATGGCGCGCAAAGATCCATATGGTAGGGGTAAGCATTGCAGACCGCTTAATTCAGGTGTGTTGTGGGTTGACGCCACACACTTCATGGTCATTTCTCCCCCCCCCCCCCTCCCAAAATACAAAAGTCTATTTTCATAATTTTTACATTGTGTACAATATGGAACCTACCCACATGCCAAATTTCAAGTTTGTAGCATGTTGAGAAGTATGCTAAACATTTCGAACACACATCCACAACACTATGAGACCTCCAGTGTCAAAATATAGTAGTAGGTTTTTACCCTTTAAACTGGTACAAAAACTGACATCTTTATACAAGGCATCATGTTTGCAATAACCACAACACAAGCAGTCAAAATGCAAACAAAAATAAACAACTCTGATAATGATAATGATATGCACTGTCCTTGAAGTTGATTTGTCCACACCCGAGACAGCTTTTCTTAGAGCTTAGTCTCCTTTGGTGTTGGACCGTCATCTGGTCCAATGGAGAACAGACCCACATATCCACAAATTTCCCTTTTATTTATATAGATTAATGGGATAAAAATGAATACGTTCCATTATAAATAGGGGATGATTAATACCACCCGTTAGATATACATTACTCATCTTCACACACATATAGCACTCTTATAAGCAGACACACACATCCAAACACATGAACAAACGCCTCCACCATTAATTTAAAAATGCTCTCCCTACACTCTTATAAATAATGACGCAACTATTTTTAACGGACTGCTTTCGACTTCCGGTTTCATCATGAACAGTGCCCAATCGGACCTCTTCGACCCCTCCATTTAATATCAGCCTAATGCATGAGGTTTCAGAGAGTTTTTTTGGTTAGAAAACCCCAATTCTTGCGAGCCTTTCTTCCTGCATTACAGTGTTTTTTTTTACTTCGGCCTGTCTCATGTAACTGAATCTTAGGCCTGTGTTTGCCTGCCTCACTATCCACATGCTCAATGGCGGAAATATCCATGGGAAATAAATCTAAGGCATCTTCTCCATTGACCTCCGCAATAAAGGAAAGACATGAGACCACTCCTGGAGGGACTCGTGGGATGTTACAAGCTCTACTTGAAAAGGTCGATCAACTTTTCCAAAACACCTGGAAAGTTTACACCATTAGAATCTCATTTGCCAGTAAAAAATATGATAATTGTTTTTTTTTACCCTTCTATTGGCAGCAAAGCTGACACCTGTTTTACAAGGAGTCATGTTTGCATAGACCACAATACCTGCAGCCATAATGCAAACAGGGTAAAAACCAAAAAAACAATTATCATATTTTTTACTGGCAAATGAGATTCCAATGGTGTAAATGCTTACCCCGAGCTCTCATACTCTGATGGTGCATTGTCTTTGAGTTGTCCGCCTTTTGGCGTCATCTGGTTCAACCCATGTGAGACTAGGCTTTAAGGAAAGCTGTCTCGGGTGTGGACCAATCAACTTCAAGGACAGTGCATATATTATCAGAGTTATGTTTTTGTTTGCATTATGGCTGCAGGTATTGTGGTCTATTCAAACATGGCTCCTTGTAAAACAGGTGTTAGTTTTGTTGCCAGATAGAAGGGTAAAAAACCAATTATCACCTGGGAAGTTGGTCAGCAAACGGAGGCGAAAACCACTCTACTCCATGCTGTAACAAACACTAAGTGGGATCAATGAGAGGATGGAGAAACAAGAGTTAGCAATGGCATCTCTTCAGATCACGTTTGAGCAACACAGGGACTTGAGCAAGGTGCATAACGACAACTCAAGGAGCTAGAGAAGACGTTTAATAAACAATATGGTAATTGCAGGGAAAGTCAACTGAAGGCCTCTGGTCTCTCAGAGGGGGTAGAAAACACTGCTTCCCAATGAGCCCTCTCCTCCTCTCAAAAACACACACTCTCTGCACTCAAAAACCTCTAAACTCCAAATCAGCAACCGATATAATTAGTTGAAAGGAAAGGTTAAATGGAAGCAAACAACCCTAGACTCGTCCCCATGTTAATCCTCTTCTCCAATTGGCACGGGGCTGCAGAAGCGCTAAGTATGGCAAGACTGTCAAAGGACAATGCCAATAAAATTTAGGGAAACAAGCTCTTCATAGTCCCTGACCCTACTTTGGCTGACTCGAAGAAGAGAAACCTCCTCCCACTGCACAGAGATCTGGTGAACAGGAATGGGGTGCGCTCGCAATTGCTCTACACAGCCAAACTTAGGATCCACATTGGAGGGAGGAGGTGGGATTTCCTAGCCCGAGGTGAGGTGATGAGGTGCCGGGGGTTCCAGGAAGTGCTACTGAGACTGAGGGCAAGTGAGGGGCAACACTGAAGGAGTGCTGCTTGAGGCTGCTGGTCGCTGGGTGGAGTGGATTTGGAACACCAGTCCTGCATCTTCCGCGCTTTCACAGCACATATCTTTACCCGGGCTGAACGACGCACGGAACTCTCCCTTCCCAATGAGCTCTCAACTTTCTATTTTTAGACTGCCCCTCCTCCCATCTCCCCCTCAATTTCTACTTTTTCCTCATCCCCTTCTTCTCGGCATACGGCTCTCACCCGGTGATGACGGCTCCCTTATGCGCTCACCTGAGGGTACAGTGGGGCACGTGCGGTGTGCAGCTGTGAGCGATGCACGTGGTGGCAGGAGATTGTGAGTTGTGACGGGAAATGATAAGGTACGGAAAATCAAGGGAGGGTACGTAGCTTCCATGGACAGAGCAGCGCGAATGTAGGCGCCGATGGTCAGATGTTTAAATAACTGCGCACGGATATTGCCAGGTAAACAAAAAAATAGGCCCCTCCCCTTAACTAAGGCCAAATAAATTAACACATGTTTTAAGGACATCTATGAGGCTCTTTTACATCAGTTTCTCGTTAAAATAAGGTAATCGATGCTTACCTGATAAAAAATATTCTCCGTAGCCTAGATCTTAAATGGATAGAGGACTTGGGCATATCCATCGACACACAAGAGTTAAACGAGGCCTTGGCATCATCACCTTCGGGGAAGACAGCAGGTCCTGACGGATTCCCTCTGGAAATTTACTAAAATCAAATGGAGCCCCTATAGTCTTCCAGTTATCACTGACCATTAATGCAGCATTTCACTATCAATTGCCTTCCAGGCTACCTTGTACCTCGTGTCTGTTCACGAGTCCTTATCCTCTGTTTACGTTGGTGTGTTCAACCTAGAAGGTGAACACAACATTTAGCAGTCTTTTGAAATACGTGGTCAATAAGCTTGAGTGTCTAATTGTGTTGTTGGCCGACTGGGTTGCATCGCATTATATTTCTAAGGTTTGCCGAGTTCGCGTCTTCCATCCTCTTGATGTATTTGCCTCCGTGCAGTTTGCCATTCTCGGTGTGCTCTGTGTGTGATGTCCATCTGTGTGTTCTCTCGCTGTGTGGTTTACGACATTTTCACCTGAGGACGAGCGCTTGTGTTGTGATCGAAACTTCGTGATCTATTTTAATTTTATTCTTATTTTATTTCTACATACGTGACTTTACCGAAAGAATCAATGAGTATAGTAATTCCTGCAGTCACGAAAGCTTCAATCCTATACAATGGACGCTTTACCACGGTTTTACAAGTATGTAACAAAATAACCATTAAACCCAAATACTCACAACCAGTGAACTTCAACTCAAGCATCCGAAAACGTTACAATTAAAAGACTTTCCTCACGTGAAAAATTCTGAAACACACCACAATCACAAATTACAAAACACCACAATCAAGTACACAACAAGAATGGAAACATCGCCACAATATCCATGATGAAAATGTATCATTTCCAACCTCCACACAACGCTGATTGTGCTAAATTTAATTTAACTTGACTGACATGTATTTGTTGTAGCAAAGAAATCAAGCAGAACATACAGTTGTTTAAATCTCATCCCCAATATCAAAATAACACGTTGCATGAGCCACGCAACCTCTGGGAGTGCATACTTTCAGCAGCATTGGTTCAACACAAACAAACAATTGTACTAGTTTTGAAAGTATCTTATTGGTAAAGTCACGCTTGTTTGAACTTATGCTGGTGAACAGCCAAGTACTATTAGATAAGATCTTATAGTCACGGGTCCTAGCTCACTGTAAAATGATATATCACATTAAACAAAATAATGACAAGTTTTGTTGTCGATAATTTAAAGTGGGATTTGAAAATACACTTTTATTTTGTATATATATAGGCAGAAATGTGAAGGATACATATAGTCTACAGATATATGCTGTTACCTATAGGTTCCACAACGAACACTAATGATTAATTATACAGGTCAGAAGGACAATCAAGCCGAAATCATACTGAAGAAGCAGGTAAACCATCTGTACTAAACATATACACGCAGTGTTGTACCACACTTAGAAAATAGCTGTTTGTGATTTGTCAAATTTGCAGTAGATGGGATGAAAATAGAAAGGATTTTAATAACCCGCACTATATCAGCATGGCAAAGTACGGTCAAACAATACCCATATAACATGTAGAGACATTTGTCCAATTATTAGACATACATATATTTTATAATGATAATTGAGTCTCAAGACTCCGAAACTGTCCTGGTCATACACGTTTGGTAGCTTTAGCTATTTCTAAACTATGTAACGCTGCTCTTTAACTGGGAACCAGGGGCCTCAGTACAGAAACAGTGCATAACTCCTGCTAGGCAGGGGTTTACATAGGCTCCTAAAAGGCATCGTGCAAATTCGGGAGTATCTGCACCCGTCCCAGCCACTTTAGAAATATGGACACGCATCAGTGGTTGCAAGATCAAAATGGGCTCGCATAATGCGCATGCATAATGTACTTTGACTCAAGAGCGCAGAAGTTTGGTCACCACATCGAAACAGGTGGACTTCTTCACAAATATGGCTGTCGCCTGATGAAGCTAATTGTAATTACTGGCGAAACATCGTACTCAGATTGTAAATGTTGTGGCTTGGGTCTCCAACACACCGTTGTGCTGTACTAGTGACGAAATGGCATGTTCTGTTTACGTGACAACCCTTACTAGTTAGCTGTGTCGGGTGGTGGCGGGTTAAATGACACACATATATTTACACGATCTAACCCAAACAACCTCTATTATGAACCACAGTACAGTTGCACCACCTGCACACTCAATAGCTATGCCACTGCAGTGAAGCACTGACTTCCCCTGTGTTTTTGTTCCCACAGATGAAGAGGAATTCGCCGACGTGAGGAACATGATCAAGTGCTGGAGGATGAGAGAGTGTGTCACGCAGAAACATATGTTGAATGGGTGTTCGATGGGAATTAGCAAAAACATCACAGCGAGTGCACCCTCAGGAGTCGTTTCACTCTGAGAACCGATTTACCAGCGGTTACCAGGAACATGGTCTTGTACAGCCCTTTTGTCAATCCAACACTGGATGAGGGCCTCCACTGCCGTGCAGGCATGGGTGTTAATTGACCATACTTCACCAATCCAGCTATTGCGGACTATGAAGGCAGTGAGCACACAGATGCACGATCATTGAAATACTTATCAGGGTAATGGATTCGATGTAACAACACGCACACACACAGTTTTTTTGCTCTTAAACATCTTCATATAAAGGCCAATGATTCAGCTTCACTACACTAAGCTGGGTGTTGCTGTGTTGCTATGCGAAGAGAGACAGCCGTTTGATAGTCTTCTTTTAATATATTTTGTGTTGTGTACTTTTTATATTTGTAACACAGACATGGGCAATTTGAGCAGAAGCAACCAAAGGCCAGGTCTGCGCTTCCCAAACCCCTGCAGACTAGAGGTTGGTTCAAATCAAACATATTCCTGTGATAGGTCCTGCACTGCAGTGGTGTTAGGTGTGGGTGACTTGGAAATAGCCCAGTGTATATGTAGTATTGTGAATTACAGCGGGAGACCACTTGACGGGTAGCACACTTTATTAACTCTTCTCTTGGGCACAATGACACGTGTGGACAACTACAGCTCTTCCTTAGCCACAATAGCACGTGTGGACACTACAGCTCTTCTTTAGCCACAATAACACGTGTGGACACTACAGCTCTTCCTTAGCCACAATAACACGTGTGGACACTACAGCTCCCGCTATATGTTCCACCCGGCTACACACACACGGGCTCTCCAGCCCCGTAGCTTCCAGGGGAACCTACAGACCCACCCCAGCTTGGGTATGGGTCACGACCACTGGGTCCCATGGCCCGGCCCTCACACGGACGTCCGGCCCCGGGTCCCAAGGTCCCGCCTCTGAGCCACACAGGGTCCCGGCCCTTACAAGGACAGCGGGACTAGGGGTCTCAGGGCCCTACCTCTTCTTCCTCCGTCTTCTGTCTTCACTGGTCACCCACTCCCCGAGCGCCCGCGCGCACCGCCTTATATAGCCCTCCGCTCCCGAGGAGACGGAGTCTATCCGGACCGCGATGTGAGCACCCACTAGTCGACCAATCACGACGCGCTGTTCCTACGATCCGTTTTCCCCAGCGCGTGTTACCACCACACAACCAATCGCCCCGCGCTGCCACACGACCACTCCCCGTCAGCGCGCGTCACCAACACACAGCCAATCACCACCACATAACCCATGACCCCGCGCTGCCCTATGACCCCTCACCGTCAGCGCGCGTCACCGACACACAGCCAATCACCACGCGCTGCCACACGATCCCTACTGTCAGCGCGTATCACCACTACATCACCCCCTCCCACATAGCTCGCAGCCGGCCCGGCTGCCAAAAACCAAAAAAAAAAACCCCACTCACCAAGTGTGCCCCGTAACATTAACCACAATGCAACACAGCAACACAACACCACAACACAACACAACAACACAACACCTGAACGTTAACTAGTAACAAGAACGAACTATGTACAAACCGACGAATAACCGAATAAAAGTTATTTCGAAAAGACCGACGAGTCCAGTGTCTCCTCGACTCCCGATCCCCCTCCCGCTTGCTCCTCAACGGAACGATAGAGCGGTCGAACGGACGGGGAACGCCGTAACGAGACGATCCGGGCGACTCGTCCCGCACCTCCACCTCATTTATTGGGTCAGGAAAAGTTGCGCGATCTAGCGCGAGTCCGCCTGGCCGGTCCGTCGTACGGGACAGGACGCTGTCGACTGTCCGGCGGCTCCGGCAGCCCAGGAAGGCACGGATCGGGCCTGGAAGAACCGTCCGTGCCGCGGAGATCCGGTCGCCGGTCGTCGGCGGCCGTCAGTTCCGAGACACCTGGGAGCGGATCAGGCGAAAACATGTGAGGATCAGGCGGAGACATTTCCCTCCCCGGGTCGTCGGTCACATCACATGCTCGGTCCTCCCGACCCAAAGGAAGGCCATATGGTGGCGAGAACGGTTTCAGCCGGGAGGGGTGAACGTACCAACGCCGCTTTCCCCATTTTATCTGCACACACTGGGGGCGTGCAACCCGCACGACCTCCACGGGTCCCCGCCATGGCCTCAATAATTTAGGCGATGTAGCCAAAGGTGCATGAGGGCAATGCAGCCAGGCCCTATCGCCCGGTTTCCAATCGTGCACGGACACCCTCCGTGCACGCAAGCGCTCGTTGACAATTTGGCGAGACCTCGAATTAAGCCATGCGGCCTCCCGTACCTCGGCCAGTTTTGCAATGTTAAATTTAATATGGTCGGCCAACTTGGAATTAGGCCGTGGCACGGAAAGTCCCAGCTGAGTCTCGGCCTCCCGACCGTACATCAGATAAAATGGGGAAAATCCCGTTGCTGCATGGGGGGCCATTCTGTACGCGGCGAGGACCCCCGGGACCTGCAAGTCCCAGTCAACCTGTGCCTCGCACACCTGCTGGCACAACATGGAAGTTAAAGTTCTGTGGAGCCGCTCCACCATCCCGTCAGTCTGTGGGTGGTACGGGGAGGTACGCACCTTTTTTGTACCCAACAGGTCGCACACCTCCTGCAGCAATTTGCTCGAAAAATTCTTTCCCTGGTCGGTCAGCAAGCGTTCGGGAGCCCCCTTGTCCAAGACGTAGCCTTGGACAAAGGCGTCTGCTACGGCCGCCGCCGACTGGTTGGCGAGTGGCCACGCCATAGGCCATCGGGTAAAGTATTCCACACCAACCAACAGGTACTTGTTACCCCTAGGCATGACAGGAAAAGGCCCCAAAATATCCAGCGCGACGAGCTCGTTAGTGCGCGAGACCTGAATAGACTGCAGCGGTGGATTCGGCGCAACGGGCGGTGGTTTCCGTTTGGCGCAATCCACACACCCCTTCAATATATTGACCACATCGCTCCCCATCCCTGGCCAATAATAGTCACGCTGGAGCAGAGCGAGCGTTTTGTTTACACCCAAATGCAAGAGGCGCTCGTGTGCGGCCAGAACGATTTTGCCCCGCATAGCAGAAGGCACGACGAGTGCGTGCCGCCGGGACATATTGTCCCATCTCATTAGCAGGCCCTGCTTGAGCAGCCAGGAGCCAGCTTGCTTTCGACCCTCCTCGGGACCCCCCGCCCTGCGACGCAATGCGAGCAGGGAGCTGTCAGCCATCTGGAGTCGGCCCCACTCAACGAGAGACAGTGAGAGCGGCGAGTCCCCGCCCGCAGGGGTAGCGGGAACGTCAACCATCGGCGCATTCGCGGCCGCGACCAACTCACTCTCAGGTACAGCACCCGGCGGTTTACAGCGCGCCGACCCCATCAAGCATGCACATTCGGGACGAGGCGACAACCGCGACAGGGCATCCGCGTTGGTGTGACGCAACCCCTTACGGTAAGTGGTCGTAAATTGATAGTCCTGGAGGACTTCCAACCACCGTGACAATTGGCCTGAGGGTTGGGCGACCCTCAATGAATACTGAAGCGCCGCGTGGTCCGTCCGGACCGTAAAATGATGGCCATAGAGATAAGGTCTAAATTGCTGCACAAAAAAGACAATAGCCAGCAACTCGCGACGGGTGACGCAGTAGCGCTGTTCCGCAGGCGACAAAACCCTGCTACCATAAGCGACCACCCGTTCAACTCCCCCAACGACCTGTGAAAGCACCCCCCCAATGCCCGTGTTACTAGCATCAGTATCCAGCAAGAAGGGACTCGTAAAGTCAGGGTAACGTAAGGGCGGGGCACCCACCAAGGCGTCCCGGAGGGAGCAGAACGCGGCCTCCTCCTCTGGCCCCCATCGAAACCTGACTCCTTTGGCTGTTAGAGCGTGCAAGGGTTTGGCAATGGTGGCGAAATGCTCAATGAATCGGCGGTAGTAGGAAGCAAAACCAATGAAGCTGCGGACCTCAGAAACTGACGTGGGCGTTGGCCATGAACTGACACAGTTCGTCTTCGCGGGATCGGTGGAGATCCCTGAAGAATCGACAATGTGGCTCAAGTACCTTACGGATTTCCGCAAAAGGTGGCATTTCGCCGGTTTAAACTTCAACTTAGCCGATCGCATCCGCAAGATCACCCCTCTCAATCGCTGGAGGTGTTCCTCAAAAGTTTTACTGAAAACAATTACATCGTCGAGGTAAATTAAGCAGGTATCCCATTGCAGCCCCGACAAAACCAATTCCATGAGGCACTGAAACGTCGCGGGAGCGGAATGGAGCCCCATGGGAAAGTGGTTGAACTGGAACAGGCCCCCTGGGGTCCAGAATGCGGTCTTAGGTTTAGACTCATCGTCGAGTGGCAACTGCCAGAATCCCGACAGTAAGTCAAGCGTAGAAAAATACCGCGCCCCGGACAATGCGTCCAGGGACTCATCCATCCTAGGGAGCGGATATGCGTCAGCCACAGAGATTTTATTAAGGCGACGGAAATCTACACAAAACCGCAAGGAGCCGTCTTGCTTCTTAACCAGCACGATAGGTGCTCCCCACGGACTGGATGAGGGCGAAATAATGTCGGCCGTCAGCATGTCATTGATGGCCGATTGAACGTGTTCCTTCTCGGCAGGACTCAGCCGGAAGGGATTCTGCCGGACTGGTGCCGCGTCACCTGTTTCAATGTGGTGGCGTAACAGGTCCGTGCACCCAATATCATATTTGTGCTTGCTGAACACATCGGAGAATTCGATGAGCAGAGCACGCAGCGCACCCAATTGCACCCTTGACAAATCAGTGGAGTCCGCACACAGCGAAGCGACCCATCCAAGGTCATCACCCAGTAGAATTTTCTGCACCGGGACGGGATCAACATGTGCAATAAGGCGCTCTTCCGCAGGGACCCGTGATGCATGAGCAAGCACGGTGCCCTGCGGAATAACGGCCGGCCATGAACCAGCGTTTAAAACCATTACGAACGGGTCCTCGTCAGCCCGAACCAACGTTTGAGCCACCGCCAAATCCAGACTGCCGACAGCTCTATTCGATGGACCCAAAAGCACGCCTTGTCCCGCAGTCTCTGCACCCAATGGCTTCCGCAACCGGAGGGGTATCAACATCTGCGAACCCGGGGGCACGTGCACCGTCTATGTCGCTAGCGCTTGGATCGTCGCGCACGCCGTCCGTATTTCAGTAGGATTATACAAAAATGAAATACGGCGACCCGATGGCAGCTCAATACAACGTTGATCCACGAGAATTTTAATGGGCATCTTAGCCAAAAAATCTGTGCCCAACAGACAAGGAACCGCTAGGGAAGAGGAGACAAAAACAGGTCCCGCCAATTTAATATCCCCTATGCAAACGGTCGCCTGAATCTGACCGATAATACCCAATGAGCCCCCATTTGCAGCGTAAAATGGCACGTCCACCGGAAGCAGAGGTCGACATTGGACGGGGAGAATGTTATAAATGAGGTCGGAAATTATAGTCGCCGACGC